ATGATCCGGTGACTCACTATCCTCCTACAAAGCTCCAGAGAAAATTAAAAATGATGATGCGGGTAGATTAGCTTACCATGCCAACTTTGGCCCACACACAATTTGCTTGGGAAGTTCACATAGCAGTTATGGTCTCCATATTTGTAAACAGCGTTTCTCGCGATCCATCGCGACTTTCCATTGCTATGTTTGTGAATTTTTGGAGGATTCTAATGGAAGATTGAGTTGTCGTAATCTTTCGGCGTATTTGAGCGCTCTGAAATTATTTCAGACCGCCGTTTCCTCTATAGGAAGGTATAAAGTTGTGAGGTAAAGACACGGGTCTGGAACGAATCGCTTTGTTTTTTTGTTCGAAAATCAGACAATAAGTGCGCGAGGAACGCTAGTGGGAAGAAAAAGCAAAAAGCACCATAGAAAACACTGAAATTTTCCCTTGTGAGGCCGGCCGTGGTATGACGGAGAGACACAGCGCTGCGAGGAGAGGGAAAACGCGAGAGAGCACGTCGTACGCGAGAGGGCGCAGACGCCACGTATCGCGATTGATAAGGATGGCAGCGCTGGCAACGAACAAGGCTGGCTAAAGCCACTTTAGCCAGCTTTGTTCACTAAGGTGACTTTGCCTCGCACTTCTGGGTTGCTAAAGTGTTGCGCCTACTGCGCTTGGGGATCCCCCACATTTTCTCACTCTAGGAGGGACTACTTCTTGGCACCTAATTCAGACCTGTGGCTTTAAACGCCCAGAGATTATCGAAGAGCGCTTTTTGGTGGATACGAGTCGGATAAAGTAGTGCGCTAAGCCTAAAGAATTATTATACTGCTGACTACAGTTTGGCGATTCGGCCGGGGATCGAACCGACAACAATCGGAAACATGACAGTGTCGCTCTACCCAGGTCTCCATTCGAAATCTTCTGGGATGGTGAAAGCTAGCCCATGTGAGCCAGCCACTCTGCCCCACAAATCCACCCTTGACCAACTTCTACTCAAAAACCTTTGCCGCACACATCGGTGACATCGCGAAAGTCACAGATGCACTCTTTGCCATACTGTGAATGGTCGAATCATACGTGAGCATCGGATTCAGCGAAAACTCGTCCTGTAGCTCTGACAGCAGCTTCTGAAACACATACTTGCATTTTTATACTGAGCACATGTTCAAATTCTCACAAAATCAGTTTGACAGGAAGAATGTTATATAGTGAACTTCTCAAATGCCAACAGTAAAGCGGAGAAAATACTAAGAAAGAATTCTTTGCAAATTTGTGGTAAAAAAAGGTCTCGCTACTTGTGCCATCTAGGTCGGCTAACCCGATACTGCTGATCTCCCTACTTTCTCGGCGCTAGGGCTTCGCCCGTCCACATACCTATCCTAGGTGTGTCTTTCTGATAAGGAGTAAGCTATATTGCACGTAGTTGTGTGCTACCCGACATTACAGAGACGCTAATACGATCTTATTGAGGAGCTTGAAGCTGCCCCCCTTCTTGCTGATAGGATAACTTTAGTAGGAATCAATTTTAAACCCACCATTGGCAGTCCAATTTCAAAAGCTGCACCTTCGGAGATTGAAAAGACTCTGTTGAACTTTCGATAGATCCCACTCCCTAAATATAATGAGCATACATGCAAAGAACTCTATATAAAGTATGTATATAATTAAAGATCATTCTGCAGGCGAAAAGTGTACCTTTTTGAGGAGAATGTGGTTGAGTAAAACCTGAGCAGCTGCGAGTATTGAGTTCAGTGATCCTGTGATTCCCAATGGATGTAGTGAGCTGGGAAGTACGAGCTATACGAACGGATCGGTAAACAGTACGAAGAATTGTTATGAAAAAGTCAAGAGGGCTTGGCATACCGTCACAACTGTGCTATTAACTGAAACAATTTTCCGTCCCTTCATAGTTTATCGGTACTGCAATGATTACGAATACAACGGCTACTGGTACCGCGAGCTTGATTTTTCAGCATGATAAGGAAAAGGGTTCTTGGAAAGGCTACCAAACTCACAATCACAGGGGATTATGGTAGTAATAAGGTGGTACCACTAACGTGAGCAAAGCATCGAATCCCGGTAGTCAAAGGCTGAGCGTTGCCAAGTTCCATATTATCTTCCGCACAGGACCACCCTTAGCGTTCGTTCCTATTTCAGAGAATTTATTCCTCCCCCTGCCATAACGATTTCCACGATCTCATCATCCCACTACCATCATCGACCTTAGGTGGTCCTCAAAATACGAACCTCGCCATCCTCACTCTTAACACTGCGATACCACCCTCATACCATATACTTGTTGCCTAATTGCTCCAGTCACGCCAGGCGAGGGGGAAAAGATTCCGCCTAAAATCGCTAAAACGCCGTCAATAACGACCTTCCCCTTTCGCACTTGGGCTCGCTTCCAAACTTTACAAAATGGCAGAATCCCCCCCTTTTTTGACCTTTTGACGTCGCCCAACCAAAGGCGGACATTGCGAGCCCTTCCTAAAATCGGCAAATGACGACTCTTTCGTGTCACATTTTGACACGTCATAAGCTGAGACTGCTTTCCGCCATTTCTAATCTAACGAAATTCTGAGAATTCCTCACTTCGTGAGAGGATTTTCTGATTGGTCCGAGATCGCTTCAGACAAGTCGATGAGCTGAGTTATCAATTTTCCATCAAATATATCCTTCATTATATCTTGGGATGGAATTTTCTAAAAGTTCCCACAGCATTACTTTCGCTCATGATTCGCTTCTTCATGGAATTCGTACCGTTACAGCGCTACAATGATGGGAACTAGCGGTCATTCATGGCGCAGTACCCTGAACTTAAAAAAATTACCTGGCCATTATCATCAAACATCATCAACGGCACCATCGAACTGCGTGGCCGCTTCGTTCCTTCGACTGCGTTCACGTGCACGTCTTCGCTTTTCTCTTTATCAGGTATCGTGAATGACGACATCTCATTGTTTCCATCACAATCTCCTTTTCACAGAACTAAGAACCTCACGACGCAAATCTGAAGTTAGAAAATGTGTGGGCGCTATTGCAAGTTGCGGGAGCAATCGTTTGGGTAAAAATCACTTCGAACAATCGCACAAAAACATCTTCTTTCTTGTTAAACGAGCCAAATCAAGTCTCAGGCCATTAAGAGGAACTCCAAAGCGCTGAGTGCAGTATTCTTCTTTTTCTTGAGGCCGCTGGTCTTCCTGGTTGGGTCACAGTTTTAGGGGATGCCCCGTATTTCACGATAGCGCCGATGTATGCGTAGGTTGACTTGTTTTGTCCGTAACCGCGTCATCACGTCAGATGTGGGAATGCCAATAAGATAGGGTAGATATGTCAAAGTTTAGTCAAGGTGAAATGGTATGGTATGCTGGTAATGTAAAACGTAGCGCGATTGCCCTGTAAACAAGAAAGCGGGTTCTAATCCCGTGCGTGGCAAAAGTTTTGTCCATAACTCAGCATTCTTGCGAATCACGCTAGACGGGGGAGGGGGGGAGGTGCTAGTAAGCTGTAGTAAATAGTAGTAAATACACCATCAAGGCCGAAGTTTGTAAGGTGGTGCTCCGATAGTGTAACTGGTAGCGCGATTGCCCGGTGAGTAAGCGATGCGGGTTGTGAAACCCGTCCGGAGTAAAATTACGATATAAGCGATTGGCAAGCGATTATCAGCTGACGGGCCGCCATCACTCCACAAGCGCGCGTCCCTGACAAGCCATATGGGCCGCTTTCGAGGTGAATGTGTCAATACAACCAAGGCAACGCGTGACAGTGATAACCCCCTTGAGTCCCTGATAACCAGTGAGGTTCTCGAACCCATTTGAAAACTATCAGTCACCTTTCGTTGAGAGACGAACTGAGCGATACTGCGAGATTATCTCCATCCACTACGTTGATGTGAGAGCCGACAGAGCTTTGATCTTTCTAAAGTATTTACACATTAATTGCACATTGCGGAAGATTGCAACTTCTTATGAGGTAGCTTCTTAAACAACAATTAAGCTTCATGTTTATATCATCCCTCTGATATATTGATGACTTAAAGACACATCCCGTGATCAGGTAAAGTGGACCGATGCCAGTTGTGAGTAGGAGGGGGAGTCTGCAAGCACATAGTAGCTTGTGGCATTCCTATAGCGCGAAGAGAAAGGTGACAGGGACTTTTCAGTCTGTTTCCTTATACCTACTTTGTTTCTCCCGACTTGTGCGCCAGTGTGCCTGCTCCCACAGATTCAAGGCACTCTATCGCCTGTTTTCACTCGTCGGCATCTGTGTCAGTGCCTCTTGGTCGTACCCCTTCAATAAAGGAAGAAGGCTTCTTGATTTAGCATTTTAGGTATCTCCTTCCCTCCATTTTTCTCCGCATACACCTTACCATCCCATCCACCTGAGACAACTCGCTCTACTTGTAAGCATAGCGCGTTCTCTGAGTGCCCAAGTTAGCTCTTTCTTGGATCTGACTCATCACTTCAAGGGCGGAGAGCCAGCGACGTCGACGACCGACACAGAGGAGACGTCTGGCAGCAGCGGCCGAGGACCGCGACCTCTTCCTCACCTCCGCTTCTCACCTTCCAAGGGCGACGCCCTCAACACCTAGAGCTGCATACGATCTGATCGTTCTCTTTGTGCCTTTGTCTATAGTGTGTTCATTTATCTCCAATGGTTACTTGTGCCTTTTATTCGATGTGTTTCTCGTGTATATCTCGACGTCTATCTGGTAACTTGTATTGGTATTGATGTCTTAAGGATATAAACTAGTAATCTACTTTTCTGTGGACAAGAGAATGATCTTGCAGCTTCCATTGTGTGCGCGCGCTTAAACTTACCCTCCTCTGGTTTTTGTTTCAAAACCGCAGGAAATCGCGACCGTGGCTCGCTGATAAAAGCGTGTGCTTTCGAGAAGGCTAGAGCTGCAAGTCCTATGAAGCAGCCAACATCCAAACATACCAAATTCCACATGAGATTCCGGATATCGATATGCTTGACTTCATCTGAAGTTTCAATGGTGTTATTCGTGTCACTCGTCACGGCGTCGAAACTGCTGATCGTTCAGGCATGTACACATCCCAGGTCTCGCTGGAAAGGGGTGAAGCGTGATGAAACAAAGTCATCAAGTTCTATACTGATTAGTTAATAAAAAGAGCTGACTTTTATGAGTTTCCCATACCATAGAAAGCCATAGCTTCACCACATCAATTCCACCTTTTCGAAAAAAGTCCTGCTACAGAGAGCAAGTTGGCTGCTCAAATAAACAACAAGAGCAGTGAAAATGACTGTTAGAATGGAATGAGGTCGGCGAATAGTTTATTCAATTTTTAGGTTACGGTGGAACGAGCTCAGTGCGAAACTGCGTCACACGACTCTGAAGTTTCTGTGAGTTGCAGGCCTACGAATACGAATAAAGCAAAACTTGATGCTCAGTGCTTGTGGGGCTGACTCCTCATTCCACTTGATTCCAACGCTTCTGTTCTAGCCGTGTCTGGCCGTCCACCCAGCAGTACCCATTTCTTACTGAGCCAGGACTTCTCCATTCTCGACAAAACCCTACCCTCAGATTTCTTTGCTACATTTGAGGTGTTTTGTTGCTGTTATTCTGTTTTACTCCTTTCGGAATAAAACAGGGTGTTAAGTGGTTTGGGAGGGGGGAGGGGAGGAAGAAAAGGGGAACACGGTGCGGCTCCCCGTCGTCTGGCACGTCAGGATTGAGTCACCAGGTGGGCCACTGTGTTTCGAGACGGTGGCTGCACGGAAAATTAAGTACTGCTCCTTGACAAGCTCTGGAGGAGCACGACGAACGCAAGCATCGGCGCGCGGCCGGCCCGCGTCGCTCCCAAACCATTCGCCCCACGCCCCCCCCCCCACCCGGATCCCACTTTGGATCCCATAAATAGTCCTAAAAGTCTCGTCGATGTATGATAGGTTCAAAATGTGTACGCTCTATGGCAACATTATCACATATGACGAATTTATGATAATTCGCGCCCAGTTCAGTTTTTGAAGACCACCTAGAAAGGTAGCAATGTTCTGCAAGAAATACAAGAAGTACCTAGTTGTTCGAGTCTTGCCAGTGCTATAGTTTGAGCCCTCAGAAGCTCTCTGATGTAGGAGACATCCATGGAAACGTTTGACTCACGACTGTATTGGCCTTAAATGCACTTACTTTTTTGGCTTCATTAGTAATAACAGTGGAATACGTACTCATCATGATCTCCACCAGGAGACTCATCGCAGTGAACGCAGAAGGCGGTTGCGGTCCTTTCAATGTGAATCCGTTGGGTAGAGTGACCACCAGTGGCTTTTCAATATTCGTCCCATAACCGGCCAAGTCCGTTTTTGTGAGCAGACCACCTCAAAGCGTAAAGATGTTGTTTCAATAGAGAAGAAAAATGGCAGAAAAAAGAATGAAATATTCCTCATCATATTTTGAACAGAAAAGTATAACGTGATAATCTATCAAAGCTCCCTCCACAGCTTTTCAATCCTTGAAAAAGCATCGGTCTCAAATTTGACATCAAGTTATCCAGGGTCAGAACATATGATCAGAATGAGAAGATACTGGTTCCTATTTCTAAGTGGATTTTCTACATGAACAACATCGTATCATGCATTTTGAGATTCTAAACTTACAGGCATAATACCCACAATTGGGGCCAATGGGCCGAAGGCAGTGGACCATGAAAACTGGTGTTTACAGCGTCGAGTTTTATAATACAATACATTAACCTACCTACCATTTAACCCATAGATTACCTGCAATCTCAATAAAGCCTAAGACCTAGGTCAATCCTTCTCCCATGTGAAGCAAGCGCAGCCTGCAAGAACTGAGCTGTGCGCCCCTACGGTCCAGAACTACGTAGTCTACGTTTTGCTCATCTCCGATGGTGTCTCGCTTGCTCTCTCATTCCGACGTCCAGTGGCTGCTCGTCGTTTTACAAGTCCAAATTCCACTAATGAGGTCTCTTTTCAGTTTTGACTTGTTTTTGTTTGTTAACTGCTGTTTTACGCCGCAGTTCGCGTTGCGAATGTTATCACAAGAATGCTGAGTTGTGGGCAAAACTTTCGCCCCAGCCGGGATTCGAACCCGGATCTCTTGCTTTCCGGGCAATTGTGCTACCAGTTACTGCTAGTGGTTTACCCCCGATATCGGCTAACCAGTTCACCTCTTTATACGTGAGAATGGTAACAAGCTATGGTATCTTTACCATCGAAGATGAGTTTGGCCGAAAAACCGGTAGCACCATTCCCTAGGAAGCAAGAGATTCGAGTAGGAATCTCGGCCGGGGCGAAATTTTGCCAACAGCCCAGCATTCTTTGAT